AGTTCGAATCCAAGCACCGGTCGAACCGCCGCGGCCGGCCGGGCCGGGCCGGGTTTAATAGCTATGGCTTAATATTTGCCTAAACCAGTTAAATTTAAAAATGATCACTTCTACTTTTGACAAAGATATCATGATCATCTTCCAAAAAGCGCACAATTTCCTTGTCTGCCATAGCTGCACGGATGAAGAACTAATCATTTGGCTAAAGAATGTTAATCGCCTGTGCAGTGAAACTGAAACTTTCCTCTACATAATCAAATTTCTCTCTCGAATTGCCCAGCCATTATGCCCCATCATGCCAGAATCAGAGGCCGGTGTTCTAAAATGTGGATCGATCCTCAATTGTGATCGTAAGTAAGTTGGTAGTTGGATCAATCAAGTGGACGTGGTTCTAAAATGAGAAAACAGAGACGAGGACCATTTGCTTATTAACTTGTTCTGGTCCCTGGAATGAGACAGACATAAGATTCTATGCCTTTCAACTTGGATATTAAGAACATGGCTTCGCGTCAAGATCTTGAAACTCGTTGTCTGATGTAAGCGCCAGCAACTGTTCTTTCACATGTACAATTTGTATTCTTTTCTACCAGCAAATTAAAAGAAAGTTAACGAGTAGTAGTTAGAAAATCCATCTCTCTCTCTCTCTCTCTCTCTCTCTCTCTCTCTCTCTCTCTTTTTTAAAAAAAAAAAGTTAGAAAATCCATAATCTAACAAGCTGTAGTATGCACTTTCGAAAACAGTAGTAGTAATTTATGGTTGTCGAACAAATTAATTGTCTTTTGGTCTTTTTCCCGGATGGATGGAATTGGTGACTAACAACTGGCTATCTATCTATCTATCAATCTAAAGCATGAGCATTAGTATTTTGTTTCTCGGTTCATTGGAAGGGGGGGTTGGGTTTGAATTTATAAGTTCCTGAGAGCTCCTCAAGAGTTGCCGGCTTTTGAGGTGTCTTCTGGGAATAAGGTTTACAGGCAAAAGTCTTACCGTTTCGGTAAAGAGAACAAGTGACTAGCACTTAATAGCCTAATTGAGAAGATATGCGAAATGAAGCACATGGGCTGACTGGGTTCAAATTGTACAAGCGTGAGGCCCACTGCAGATGGATGTGGAAGAAGATGGGAGGAATGCGGATTTCTTCATGGCTCAAAAATCTTTTTTCTTTGCTTTAGTACGCGTCAAAAGTTGGAAGCATGATGTTACAACTGCTTATAGTTATATCTATCTAACAAAGAGGAAGTAGCAAAATAACTTTGAAATACCTCCCAGGCCAGGATAAAGACAGAAACTTACTACTAGTACTGCAAAGATAGCAACACATTAATTCAAGACCATAAGTTGCTCCAACTCTAATAACAGTTCACGAGATTATTCATAAATTTCTTACTATCGTATGTAAAGTTGATGGGCTGAGAATGAAAACATGCCAAAGAAATACGGGGAATTATTCAAAGAAAACAAACAAAGACGAAAGCCATAGATCGGTACAGGTTGACGAGCACTTAATATGGAAAAGGCGGTGACACTTTCCTACTAACTAACAGCTGAGTGATACTTCTCAGCTATGTTTTCAGAACCGGACCTGATAGTGACTCTGCCGATGTCAGGGGTCAGGGATCAATGGGTTCGACCGGGGTCGATAGGGGTTGAACCGGATGACGTCATAAATAAAAATTATTTAAAAATTAAAATATTATATATATAATATCTAATAATATATTGATATTAATAAAGGTATATTCATATATATTTGATGTTTCAAATATATTTAACAAGAAAATACAAAGAAATTAGAACAATCAAGTAGCAATTTATATTATTTAATAAATATTAACAAGTTTAGAATTAAAATTATGAATTTAATTAAAAAATAACATTAAATTTTAGGACAATATTTATAAAGTATCAAATATTTGAGGTATATGAATAAGTTTTAACAATTTAGGGGGTCAAAACATAATATTTAAAAGTTTAAATTGTTTTTAAAAAAATTACTGTTGAACCGGAAAAATCGATTTTTTTCCGATCAAACCCGATTTTTGACCGGCTTTGACTGAGTTTTAAATTCCCGATTTTTTAATATGACTTGAACCGGCTACCTGACCGGTTCTCGGTTCGACCGGTTGGTCCGGTCCGAGTTTTAAAACAGAGCTTCTCAGGGGCAGGCCGTCCCATTCAGATATCTAACTTAACTTTAAGTGGGCAGTGGATGTAGTAGTAGGCTGAGAAAATTGGGAGGTAAAAAACATAGAGATTATTGAGAGTTTTCCCAGAGATGTGACTCTCACTAGTGAAAGGTCACACATGCAAGGGGCAACATTTTTGAGAGGCCACGAGCAAGGTTGTTAATGGGATGGGATGTTCCTTGCTGGCTTTGCCTGTGTGGATCATGAGACTTGATAGCTTCATCATTTTTGATTTTTCACTCGGTCCCATATACCTCCCTTCCCTACTTGAAAAGCACCATATATAGCCACAACATACCTGGGGTTAAACCCTAAATTCAGGCTTAGTTTTCCATTCTTTGATATAAGCATGCGGCACCATGCCACAAAAAAATTTTGTTTTGGATGGTGTATTATTTGTTAAAAAAATTATTTGTCGCATCATAGTAGCATTTTTTTTAATGATTTTTTAAATCTTTCCGTCTGCCCTTTTATGCTACTACGTACTACACTACGTCATATCCTAAAAAGTGCTGCAGTATTATCCAAAAAGAACCAGTATATGAAAAAAAAGAAAAAAAAAACTGGAATCCCACTAAAACTTCCCTCCGATGAGAAAAAAAAAGCTATAGTGAAGAATGAATAGGCCATCTCTAATCCGATTGGTACATATCTTTGTCGGTTTAAGTCTTAATCATCCATATCTATAGTGAAGAATCTTTCTAATGCAAGGTTAATTCGATTCTACCAACATATTATCTAGTTGGCTGGCTAGCAGGGCTCTTTATACTTTATAGTGGCCAATTTCGTAATGTCCATTGACAAAAAAAAAAAAAAAAAAAATCTTTTTTTTTTTTTCAAAACCTATCAATATGGCTGGAATCAAAGCTTTTAAAGCTTCAAATTTAGGCCGTGGACCCCATCCAGCAAAGTCCAGCAGAAGGGAGAAAGAAGGAAAGAAAATTGAAGAAAGCAACAGAGATCTTGCAAAGTTCACAAATGATCGAAGTGTCGTCACGATCATGCCGCTGAATTTTCCTTCGGAGAGTAAAGGAATAATCTCAATACAACAATTGTAAGAAAGTGACAAGAGGAGTTCAAAATGCTCATCCAAAAATTTTCAAAAAAAAAATTACGGTAATCTTAAATGGGGCCCATTGGGTAAACTACAGATTGGTGTGCAAATTGAATAGGGAGGCCCAACTTATGCGATGTTTGATAAGCAAATGCGCCCTTGTCCCGCGGTTTTGAAACAGAGCACATGAACCTGGAAAATTGATTGGTCCCCGCCCAAATGTGCTTTTTATCTTATACTGTAAAGGCCCGTGGGCTATTCCATATTTAATGTTTGGGTGGAGGCCTCCCCGTAAACGAAGGGCGCATTGGCCCAGAAATGATTGTTGTTTGATTAGCACATGGCCGCTATTCTAAGAAAGGAGCTTTTTTTTTTTTTTTTTTTTTTGGGGTTGTCAAGAAAACCTTTAGATACAGGGATTGACGTGTCACATCATCCATGATCTGGCATCTTACATCCTCATTGTTGTGAGCATTTTGCAGCCCATCATGCTCTTGATAGCTTGCGCAAGTGGTCCAAAATCCAATGTTTGCCTTGGAGGAATGTTTGGATGAGCATTACGACTGTGACTGTCAATATAATATTCGGATTTCATGAGTCCAATTTTGGTAAATACAACCTTGGCTTTCAAGCCTTTTAAGTTTGAATCCAAATTATAAGTTTCAAATTCAACTCACAATTTAATACGAGTTTTGGGTCCAAATCGGATTCAATCCATGTTTAATATTTATTAATTATTATAAATTTATAGACAAACTATTAATACTTTATGTTATAATATGTGTATATGCATACATATATATATGTATATATAAACCAAAGTGTTTTTTTATTATACATGTAGTTATTATATATGTAGGATGTATGTATGCAACCTATATGGGTCGAGTCTTAATTGGATCTGTTCGTAGCAAAACTCAGGCTCGATATATATTTTATTCGTACTCAATATTGAGATTCAAATTTTGCTTCGCCCTCTTAAACATATGATTCCTCGGTTTTTTGTTTTTTTTTTTTGCTGATCAGACTCGGGCTAATCCAGCCCATGGACAGTCGCTGACTGTGATCCTTCCAAATTCTAGCTCAATGTGAAACTACAGCCATATTTTTGATATACATTGCTGAAGGGGAAAGAAACTGGTAATATGTCAAGCAATTGAACCTATTGACAAAAGGTTATCACTTCTCGACCTCCAATTCTAGCTCTTCTGTGGCCCATCTCTCGCCATTTTTTTTTTTTTTTTTGGTACAAGGGCGGGCCAGTGGCCCCTGATTTCTGATTCTGAATGTGTTGTTACTGACGGGTTTTGTTTCCAATGTTCTTTCCCTTCCCAGTCGCAAGTTTCTTTGCACGTTTAAAAAGGACAAAAAACCTTGCAAACATCATGCATTAACAGTTGGAGGTATGATGCATAAATAGCCTTGCATCCGGCCGGTCTGATGAAACACCAAGACCGGGGACCATTGATTGATCAATGCCAAGAGGACCAAAGAACATGGCAACAACAATTTTCAATAATAGTAATTCATTAGGCCGATTTCGTGGCATTTCCATCATTCATTTTTACATCCTTGTGATTTAGATCCAGGCTAAATGATTACAACATACGTCAAATTTTCCTAATTTAGAACCCCAAATCCCACTAAACATGACAGAAACACAACCCAACTACCCAATTCAACACACCGACTGCAATCAACCCAAAGCCATGGATTGATCCCTGAAATGCAAATACATTTTTATATGGTCCTCCTAATCATCAGACACACTCTTCTGGTTTCACTTCACACTTGTGCCAGAAACTGTCTCGGACGAACAGCGACTCCATGGTCAACTGAACCAACAAATAACTGTGAGGCAAATGAGCCACTTTTCCTCGCCTTCCGGGAAAGTCTCTGCCTACATTACCCTTCAACGAGAGATTCTTTTTAATCCGACTCCGAGTAAGTGACAACATGGTACTGCGGGAAGGTGCATGCAAAGCACCTTCAACACAATCTCCTGCCTGTGCGCAACCCCATGGCCTTGATGGTCCATCTTCGCAGAAAGGCCTAAGCCTAGGGAAGAACTTAGAAAAGACCCGCTGATCTGGAGAATTCTCCTCTTCAACTTTGGCACAGATTGGGCAAGGGGGGTCATTTTTGTTGGCCTTTGGGGTGGTTTGCTCCAAGCATTCAGCATGGAATACATGGCAGCATGAAAGAACCCCAGCAACAGGCATGTCTCCGCTTCTCACAATACGTCGAGAACTCCAAGGAGATCTCTGTGAAAGAAGCCTCTCACACAATCCACATTTGAAACTATCTGATGGATTACAATATCTACTTGAAAAATCAGCTTCAAATGGCTCAGAAACATCAGTGAGATCGACACTACACTAGCACTGCTCAAGCGATGTTTTTCTCTCGAGGAGTAACAGCATCAAATTCCAAATACCCAGCAGCATTGCTGTCAGTAGCTTCTCTTCTAGGTGTGTCAGATGGAAGGGTCAATGGGTGAACAGGTTTTGACATAAAGCAACGGCGACTTGAAAAATTACGATGAGAGTGATGTGTCTTGGCCACAGACTCGTAATCACTACTGTCCGACCTGGATGAAGTTGAGCCACCACTATCCCTTGCAGCTGATGTGCCCTGCAAAAGTAAGTATAATTAAGTTGAACTTCAGGCAGTACTACTCAGCTAAGCATGGGAAAGGAAAATCATAACTTACTTCCATAGCAGGGGAAAAGGATAAGGGCCTTGAGACTGCATCAAACAAGAGAAGGATAGTATCAGCAATTTAAAATTTCCATTCATAGTAGTTCACTTAATATGAACAATTGTTTATGCATACAACCAATGACAGTAAAGCAACCCCAATGATAGACCGCATAAGATATTGACAAACGATTTCACAAAACTGAAAATGTTTAAAGCGAACCCAAGACAGATGAAACCATAAAGGTTAGTTCCATATTGATGACTATCTCTATGGTAATGTGTTCTAATGAAAATCAAACTCATGTACTAGTGATGCTTCAACAAAATTTTCAAGAGCCAGATGCAGTCATGCTGAACAAGCAAAAACTATATATCACCCCATAATGCACAATCTAATCCTGATGGCCCTACAAAAGCAAATCCTTTTGTAACTTACTTGGGTCATAGGAAAATTACAACTTAGATATGCTAATACCATTCTCAACAGATATAAAATATATAATTCTTCCAGAGGGAAAGGGAAGTTACATGAACAATAAAATTACTCAGGATTGACAGGAAACTCAGAACCGTATTGCACTGTAGGGCAAACATAAGCAGCCTCCTATGACGATGACTCACTAATCTCACAGTACCAGTGCACGTGCTTAATGTTTCTTTTAAGCAACAAAACATCCATCAAAAGGCAGCAACAGCTAATATCTGTATTAATGTAAGCTTAGACAGAAGCTACAAATGTGACATTGAGCTTTTCCCATACAATACCAGTAGTTGGCTGAATATCAATACTATCGGTACGTACTCGTTTCAAATAAAAACAAACGTAAAACAACTTTTTATCATCTACAAGCAAATATAATTTTCTTTTGTAGATTAAAATACAGGAAATTCTGATAAATAAGCCCTTAAAAAAGAAGAAAGTCCTAAGGCACATAATTAGCAATAAAAACAAGATGAAAATGTGAACTAGCCAGGATACCAAACCAAGAGTGCCTATAGAAGCATCCACCATGACGCTCTGTCATCACAGGTCTCACTCAAGCTGTGCACCCATAAGGTTATGGACCAATCTGTACCCAGCCAACCAGGTCAATAATCAATTACAGATAATGACATCACCAAGCTATCAAATCTATGTTCAACAATTTTCTTGTCCTGGCAATTTAATTGAAAAACTTAATTTAAAGCATCTTGTTACTTAGCTTCCCATCATCAGCCCCACAAGTGACCTCAAGAAAAGAGTATGATATAAGGGCAATGTATACCAGGGAAGAAGGGAAGAGATAAATATGCATTTCCATGCGTTCATGTCTGAGTGTTGTGAGAGAGGGAGGAGGGGTGGGAGTTCATGTTGAGGTCATGAACTGTAGGGATCTCAATCCTGAAATCATGGGTAACCCCTCAACACAAAAATAGGGACAGTTGAGAATAGCATTGTAGCAACATCCTTGTTTGCTTCAATTTTAATGGGTCATGTTTATAGCTGACTTATAAGATGATTGATGCATTATATTAGATGACTGGACATGATGGAAGGTGCAGGAAACTCAGAACCGTATTGCACTGCAGGGCAAACATAAGCAGCCTCCTATGACGATGACTCACTAATCTCACAGTACCAGTGCACGTGCTTAATGTTTCTTTTAAGCAACAAAACATCCATCAAAAGGCAGCAACAGCTAATATCTGTATTAATGTAAGCTTAGACAGAAGCTACAAATCTGTATTAATGGTTCTTACCGAATTCATAACCGATTTCAAATTCAATTCGGTAATTTGAAATCGCGGTATTTGGTAATTTGGTACAAATTCGGTACGTACCAAATTCACCGAATTCTAATATGGTATGAAATAGGTAATGAGATTATGAATTAGGTAATAACCGATTTTGCATTCAAATTCGGTAATTGAAATCGGGTACCGCATTACCGCATTCGAATTACCAAATTGGTATATAAAATTATATAATATATAGATAAATGCTATTTAGTATTAGTATATACTACTAATACTTTATTATATTATATAGGTAAATGCTATTAATAATAATTAGTATATGGTATTATCATCATATCATGTACTTATAATAATAATAATATATAATAATGTACAATATATTTATATTATTTTAGTATTTATTAATTGTTATATGACTACAATAATGCATAGTAATACATTACAATATAAGATAACTATAATACTTATTATTTTATACATGAGTAACATGACTAGAATTAGATAATAATTAATACATATATGTATAATACTAAATATTAAACAATAAACATAATTAGTAATTAGAATTTAGATATTGGTAATTTGATACATCATTCATGTTTGAATTATTGAATATTTGAATGCGTAATCTATAACTTGCAAGTATTAATGTACTCTAAATTTATATACATATTCACTAATCTTAAGGCTTTAAGTATAGATAAGACAACTAAACAGTGTAAGTGAATGTATATGAATTGCAAATCAATGTATTAGTGTATTGACTTTCACAAAACATATGTAAATATATATAAGTTTAATTTTGATTTAAATAAATTATAAGTTGTCTAACATTACTTATCACTAATCATTATAATTTGTAAGTTTGTAACTAATATTACTTATTATTAATCATTGTAAATTATAAATTCATAAATTATTACTAACCATTGTACAGTCTAAGGTTTATTCTAGTTTAAATTAATCACTTTTTATGTGTTCCTTAAATCATAGACTAAGGATTGTAGGTATAAGTGATCAAATAAGTTAAAAGTTCATATTATCTATTTACTAATCTTAAGGCTTTAAGTATAGACAAAATAACTAAGCAGTGTAAGTGAATACATGTGAGTTGCAAATCAAGTAAATAAGTTTTATTTTGATTTGAAATAAATTATAAATTTGTAACTAATGTAACTTATCACTAATCATTGATTCATTGTAATTTGTAAGTTTGTAACTAATATTACTTATTATTAATCATTGTAAATTATAAATTCATTGTAACTACTAACTAAATTAGTTTAAATTAATCACTTTTTATGTGTTTCTTAAATCATATACCAAGGATTTTAGGTATAAGTGATCAAATAAATGCCAATTAAACCACAAAATGATTTGAACATAAGTAATGCGTTCAATTATGAATAAATTTGGGGATCAAATTAGTAATAATTTTTAAATCATTGAGGAGCATAATGAATGTATTATAATTTAGGAGCCCCAATTTGTAAATTAAAAATTACAAAATCACTTCATTTGGAAAAAGTCGGATTTCATCTTCAGCTGATGAAATTTGAAAAGTGAGAAAACATCAAAACAACCATGGCAAATTTGCAATATTGCATAGTGCCGTGACTGCCGTCACCCAGGGCTTTCACAGCACTAACACTCCAAGTCCAAGTGCCAATTCCCAAATCGAAGCTGCTCTCTGCCTCTCCGGCCTCCGCCAGTCCGCCGCGCTCTACGTCTCCTGTCGGCTGTGTCCTGCCGTGCTGGTTCATCGCTGCCGAGTGTCGAAGACGAAGCACCAAGATCTCACTAGTTCATCGCTGGTTCATCACTGCTCATCTCTGGCTCACTTAGGTAAGTGCTCCTCTGTTTTTGGCTCTGTGTCTCTGGCATTAAAATGGGCCAAGATCGACTAGGAAACTTGTTATCCTGAATTGATAAGGGGAACGAAATCTGAGCTTCCAATTGCAAACTCTAACTGTTTTAGTAGTTTAGATTAGGTGTGATATAACATAAGCTTTGTATTTTATACACAAGAAGCTCTCTCCAGTTGTGCAGCCTTTAAAAGTTAAGGCCTTGGGGAAAAATTCCACCTTTTACCCGTTAGAAAAATTAAAAAGGAAAAAACTTGCTAAAATGAAAATTTTACCTCCTTGTCCGTGGAGATTCTCAATCTCTGGTGCACATCTAGTGAAAGTACGGCTCCAGAAGTTGTACCTAGGATTCTGGATATGAATTTTCTGCAATGTGTAAAAGAGAAACATCTAATGGCTTGCGGGGGTTGGTAGTTGCTGAACTATAAAGATTGGTTTATATATTCTCTTAATTAGCTTCAGGTTTTTTTTTTTAAATAATAGATGAATTCGGTTAGACCGAATTCATTACCGTTTTCGAATTTGAAATCGGGTACCGCATGAATTCGGTAATGCCCAATTCGAAATTGAAAACGGTTTAGATTTCTATAGGTGCAATAACCGAAAAAACCGAATTCAGCGCACCGATTTACCGCATTTGCACCGAATGCTCACCCCTAAAAATAGGGACAGTTGAGAATAGCATTGTAGCAACATCCTTGTTTGCTTCAATTTTAATGGGTCATGTTTATAGCTGACTTATAAGATGATTGATGCATTATATTAGATGACTGGACATGATTGAAGGTGCAGGAAACTCAGTTGGCTGTTAAGGTTTCTTTTGCGTGTGAGTGAACTATGAATGAAAATAATCCAAAAGTACTTGCACTTGTTCCTTACTTAAGCCCTCGAATGCCTTTCCTAGTTTCTCTTTCTCCTTTGATTTATTGAGACATTGGATAGTTTGGATTTTGAACAAGAAAATCTTGCAAGGGTACTTAATATTAAATCGATTGGTATATTTTGCACATTAGCTTTTCGGAAGGGTTAGGTTCATTCCATAAGTTGACCACTCTCTTTAAAGATTGTTCCTTTGTAATATTTGATTGCAAGCAAGAATGCGGCCTAATACCAAACATAATCCAAAAAACATTGTTTAGTATTTATTTGTTGTATGCCTTGTCTGCCATGCTCTGGGTATATGCATGGAAGTCAATTCCTAGAATGCTACCATTTACCAAAGCATTCTTGCATGTGGTCTTTTTTCCCAAAGCACATTCATGCAAAAATATTTATCAAGCATGCTAGCCAATGGCATCAGATTGATGGACTGAAAATTTATGAGTGGTAAGTGGCTTGCAATACTGGATGTCATATTTGTTGATTAGTCTTCTTATACCAGTAGGATTTCCATATTCCAGAATGAGATGATAGTCCCTGAAAATATGAATGAGACTGACATCTTCCCCATTTCTTTTCTTAAGGTGAGAAGCTCACTGGAAATAGGATGTGAAGCTTCTATACGGGAAGGAAGGATTACATTCATTTGCTGCATTTAGTGCTACAAGTGCCAAAGGGCACTGCTCCGCCAGAAATCATCCTTAAATATTTATTTTTTTGTAACTATCTTCAAACCATGAAGCTTTCTGTAGTTTTCAAATCCTTGCGTAGCTATCCCGCTCTTCGTGTGGTTACCGGCCCTCTACAGTCTCGTGCATTTCAGCCTGATTTCATTCCCAGGGATCCCAAATCGAAGCCCGTAAGACACAAGTATCCTGCTTTCTATGATCCTTATGGCCTAGACCCCCACCTTCAGATAAGATCATTCGGCTTGCAGAACAGATTGCAGCCCTGTCTCCTGAAGAGCGTAATGTGATTGGTCCCACACTTAGAGACAGACTAAGGCATCCTAAGATTCAACCAGTTTTAGTGGAGGGCATGGACTTGGGTCCTCAGGGAGGGTCTGGCGTTGGGTCTTCAAAGGCTGAGGAGAAGAAGGTAGAAAAAACTGCATTTGATGTCAAGTTAGAAAAGTTTGATGCTGCTGCAAAAATTAAGGTGATCAAAGAGGTTCGTGCTTTCACAAATTTGGGGTTGAAGGAAGCCAAAGATTTAGTTGAGAAAGTACCAGTTTTAATTAAGCAAGGTATCACTAAAGAAGAGGCAAATGATATTATAGAGAAAATCAAGGCTGTAGGGGGAGTTGCTGTTATGGAGTAGATTTTCAACGAGTTTTGTATGCTTTCTTTGAACTGTTATCAAAGTTCTATTGCCAGTTTTTTGCTCTGATAGACAAACAATTGCCATTCTGAAGATGTTGTTCTTGCATATTCAAAAGAATGAAACTTTCCTTGCTAGGTAGAGGAGGACCATTATGTTTTCCTTCAAATTTGGTTTCATACTTGATATTTTGTGCTGACCCTTAATGGGATTTTGTGATACGGATGGGCCACGAGGGAAATGGGCTTAACAGATGTCTGGTTTGTGTAAAATTGCTTGTGTATAATATTGGAATTATTGCTAATTTAACTGTGGTTGCAACTTACAAGTAGTATGTTTGCTTCAGCATTTGAACATGGTGGTTGACTTTTTAGTGGCCGGAAATGGCCTCTGTCCATTTTTGAGATGTCCAAACAGTTACATTTCAGGCTTTTGCCAGGTATGGAAATTCTGGAATTGAATTATGAACTCTCAGAATGCGATTTTCAACTTAACTGATTAGGTGTAATGCCTCAGCAATTAACAGACCCACACTTTAGTAGATAACATTTTTAGCATCTTCGTGCAGTATTTGTAAATATTTCCTGAGCAAATATGAGATGTATAACCTTCATTGTTGTAGTCGAATAGCATTCCTAATTGACCAATTGTTACTGGTCAATTAATTCATGATTCATCTTAACTTGAAAGCAGTAGTAGAGTAAATAAACATGATTGTGGCCCAAGTTTTCAGTTCTTTGGCTAGATGACAGTTAATATACGACTATGGTCTTGATTCTTCAATTCTTTGGATGGATGGAACTATTGGGAAATTGTTCTCTTAATAAACATGTTTGGTCTTGATTCTTTTAGAAAAGAAAGGAAAATCCTTAAAAGGCGAAGGCAAGCTCTTCAAGTGTCGAACCTTGAACAT